CGATGTGAATTTGCTATTAGTGAAGTCATTGAAGAACAAGGCTTTCAACCGTATGATCAAGAAAGTTACCTTCTCTCAAGAAGAGAAAGCATTCCAAAAGTGGTGGAAAGCGTTCCAAAAGTGATGGAATGCTTTTTTTGATCGTTCCGTTTTTGGAACGGCTAAGAACACGTTCTAAAAGTGATAGAAAGCGTTCTAGACCGTTCCATTTTGGAATGCTTTCCATTTTTTTCGGAACGTTTTCTTTTCTTAAAAAAGGGCTTTCAATTTTTTGGAACGCATTGTCAACCGTTATTTTTTACAAATATTTTTCACTGGGTACTATGTTGAAACCAAATTTGCTCTACTTCACTTTTATTATATTTTAATAGTACCCATTTTGGATACATCAAATTACACAACATTATCTCCGGCAGAGACGAAAAAGCAACAAGAATACAATAAAATATAGTAAGATAGAGCGAACAAGAAACACCTAAAACACAAGTGAACGATAAAAAGGCCAAAATTTTCTAAAATATTCTACAGTTCAATTGCCTTCTTTCATTTGACCTATATTAATAGGTGTGCTACTATATATTGAAGAATTTTTTATTGTTATTGTAAGTTGTTTGTTAATTAAAGATGTATAATGTATCATATCAAACGTTGTTTATTATTGTTTCTAAATGATCAACTGTTAATCAAAACACTTGCAATATTTGCATCTATCATCTCCTATATCCTCACTCTTACTTTCGTCCTTTCCATCTTAAGATTTTGATTTCCCATAGACATAAAAATCAGAATTTCTATTAGTATTCTAAACATTCGAAAAAAATAGATTCTGCAAAAGTTTGGTTGTTCGTTTTAAATACCTTGGATGATATCCGAATACGTATCAAGGATCATAACTCGAGAAATCAAATCTTAGTAGTGCTTCCTCATTCGTCTATTCCATCAATTTGACATTGGCATAGACCGCTTTGAAATTTAGCGTTACCATATGTAAAAGCAATAGAGACATTGTTTTATCTTGGAGAAAACTATACATATCGTTATTATAATATCATTTTTTTTTCTTTTTTTATTTATAGTTATTATTTTGTTCACAATTGAAATAGCTTTGTCATATAAACGTTCAAAGGTATACATTAACTGAAAAAAAATGAAAAGTATATTAATTTCTAGAATTTTTTTTATCCAGATAGTTCTCATCCAATAAAATAAATCGTTTTTATGTTATAAAATCTTTGTAGATAACGTTGAATCATATTTTATGTTTCTTTCGGTATAGATCAATGTTCTCCATCTGTGGTTTTATGTTTTAGTTTTTTCTGAAGAATATCTGCTAAGAGATAAGCACATTTTCACCTGTAACAATATATTTTCTTTGATATATATTTTTGGAACTATTATCCTCCTTCATTCGCTGCTGTCCATTTATATGCTTTAATTCTATTTATATCAATCTAGTTTGCAACAAGTTTTATTTAAATAATCATTCAAAATAATCATAATATTTTTGTATGAGGAAAATATTGTTTTACATATTTAGGGATTCTATATTTACCCTGTAGACCTAAAGAACGCAATTTTTCACAATTGATTCGTGTTGCATTTCTTGTAAATTTTTCTGTTACTCTTCTCAGTGGTTGATACAGGACAGCAAGATAAACATTATTCGACAAACACGTTTTCGTATCAATTAGAAATTGTTCAATATAATCTTCATGAGCTTCAATAAGATCAAGTTTAGTAAGATGAGGATATTCAACGATTGATAAATCTTGATTGTCATCTTCTGATTTTTTACATCGTTTACCATTTTGAGATTTCATGTTAATCAAAGTTAATTTTTTCATAAATGGAAATGATTGAGCAATTCGGAGAAAAAATTCATATTCAAAAGGTCGTTCATCAAATAATGATATTACACAAACACATTTAAAGAGTCCACCTGGAAAATTATTGGTTATGTTATCGTAATATTTCAATTGATATGGATATGAATAAATATGACATTGACTTCGTTCAGCCTCGGAAAAATAATCAACACATGAAATAATATGATTATCTTGAAAATCCTTGAATGTATATTGAATATCTTTATTCGATGGTAAATTAATTTGATTATGAAGACGATTAGTTGAAGAAATGTTAAATAGAAATTTGTTTAATCGTGGCATATTATTGATAATATTTTTCTTCAAATCATTGCCATCAACAAATGTGTTCTTGCCACAAACTCTAATATATAAACCAAGTTTTTCTAAATTCAACATTCGATGTAGAAGTGGAACAACTAATTCATCATAAACAACTGTCTCTGTATGACAATATAGCGAAAAGCATTTTAAATTAGGCAGATTTTCCTAGAAAAGAGAACAAAATCCATTTCATTTGGATAAATTAGATATTGATCAAAATAATATACCGTATTATTGATTGTTAGTTGTGAAGAGCAAATGAAAAAAAAATTAACATGAAGTGTATGAAGTTGATTGAAACATCCATCAAGCAAATAAAGACAATCGATGAAATCTTTTACAGTGACATGTAGTTCTAAGAGAGTTGAAGAGATAACACTTGGAGATGGAATATCAAACGATAACTGTGGATACAAATTTGAAGATTGACCGAATTTTAAATATTGTAGGTTGGTGAACATAGTAAAGATATTTGTAAATATAAATGCATTTGCAACTTCTCTAAAACCTTGTTTGTTATCTTCTCTAATATGAATAATAAGTGATAAAATTTGATTTTTAAATAGATCATATAAAGCAGTTTCGACTAAACATAAATACAAAAGTCTTAAGAAACAAACCAATCATCTTTAGTATTGATTATATCGTATTATCGATTGTTGTAGTTTTTTTTGTTAATCCAATAACATACAAATTTATTCTTATTCAAAATTTTATATTCAAACATTTCAAATATAACGAATATTTTCAAAAAAAAAATCTTATTTTGGATATAAATATTCATATTCTTTGTGAAGTAACCTTTTTTTGATAAGGATTGTATTCTGATTCAAAATTTATGTTCAAAGATAAATTAGAGATAAAACTAATTTATCACAAATAGTATATTGAATGATCTACTCCATTATATAAAATGAGTTCTGCTAATTTTTCTGATACTTATATATATTTTTGAACAAAATGGTGAAAATATTAAGCCGAGATTTTGCGACCCTCCTCCCTTATTACAGATCTTAGCAACCGAGCTCATAAATGATTCAGTATGCATGATCTCCTAGTAACCGATGACAACAAGCATGAAATGCTTTTTATATAGCTCCGTAGCAATGGAAAAGGATATTGATCGACATTAACAACAAAGTTTAGACTATTCTAGAACATTCTGAAGCCTCTTCTTAAAATTTAAATGAATGGAATACATTTTTCGAATGTTTTAAATGGCGCAGCTTTGATTTTTAGGCTGATAATTGACTTTATAGTAGATATCAACAATTCTGGCTGATAATGTATTGATTTGCCAGTCATTATATAACCAACACAAAAAAGTATACACTGATTAAGTTCTAACAAAAAATCGAGTGGCAGAAAAAAAAAGTAAAAGAAAAAACAATTTCTGTTCGAAATGCAGAAAATCAGATAGATCGTTTCTCTGACAATCAATTATCCTTGGAAAGCAACTACCATCTACAAGAGATCTTTTACTTGAAGTATTTTGTATTCGTATAATAAAACTAAGGACATATGAATTCCAGTATTTAGCTTCAAAGGGACTACGATGACAAGCATTTTTTTTATATACTTCTTATTTATTCTGAATTAAAACAATCGAAGTTAAATATCTTACCAGTAAAGAAATGTCTAGCTGTTTCGACGTCAATATTATATAAAGTAAGTCCATATAAATTAGGATAATTTGCAGCAAGAAGAATACGTTCCATAGATGATGATTCAAGATCAAGCCATTTGATTTTATGGTAAATTTTAGGTAAAATTTGAAAACAAAATCGATCAAGCATTGAATCAGTTGATGGGTAGATAAAACCATCTGAGGAATGTCTCAGTAAGATCAAATGATTAGTAAAAATTGGATCATGTGCAATTGTATTAAATCGTTGATTAACACCTATTAAAGAATAGAGTACCTCAGCTTTGTACATATTTTTAAAGATAATCATAAGAATCTCATCAGGTAAATCATCCAATTGAATCACTGAATGTTCCATATTTATTTTCATTTCTATATATTATTTTGTAACTTAGAAATGTGATTATCTATATGCGCATATTCATTTCATCTATTTGACCGATATCGTCAATGAAAACAATGACGCATTTTTCTATAATCTAAATTAACTATGAGTGAGCGAATGAATAAAAAGATGATACTGTATTTGTTTCTTTTCTTTTTTCAACATATGTCATATGGGAAAGTGAATATTGATTGACACTAATTTTTTTTTTTTTATTAGGCTTTGTTGAGAGAAGAATTAATGGCCTAGGGCCTTTTAAGACAACGTCTATAAGTTAACCATGTTACTAGTAGAGAGTATATAGGAAAGAACAAGGAGAACAAG